TAGTATGCTGACTAATGTGTATGTCTGGTGTGTACTCATTGAAGAAGGGCAAGGTGTAAGACTCTAGGAGGAACAAAATCTTGTCATATTAAACTGACAGCTTCTGGACTCTGACGCTTTTTTCCAGTCAAATGTTTGAATATTTCATGAAGGAGAAGCACACCTACCTCGGTGTTTTGTTGTTTATGGTTTTCTCAATGTGCCATGCAGAATGTCTGTTAGCAATCCAAAAACAACTGTGACCAGAATCATTAAAGCCTGGTTAAAGTCTAAGAAAATTGATTCTTTTCCCTGATAAAGTTAGTGGTAAACAATGAAAAGACATTTGTATGCGATGACAGCTCAAGGTGTCTCTTCATCCTTCCTTTCAGCATCAAGAAGGTAGAATTCTTTTAAACTGTAGAATCTTTGAGCTACAGTATTTCCTACATTGCTAGAAAACAATTCCTGTGGAACAAAACTGAATGTAGCTGTTCAGTATGGTTCAAGGAGACTTTGATCAATCTATATACCTGCATGTAAAATAAAGTAATGATAATGGAAGTGGCAGATCTTGAAGACAAGATATGGCTAGATAAGTTACTGGAAGTTAATGCAGTAAGCTTTGAAGACCAGGATGAGAGAAGAGGATAGTTCCCTTACATGTTCAATAGTGTTTGGACAGAACTATTTCCATCCTTTTCAGTTTGTTCATTCCAGTTTTTCTTAGGCCGTGCTAATTTTTCCCTTCAGGACTTGGGATTTTGTAACTATTGCACACCTGTCCTGTTGAAATGAATTGTTTCTTACACCAAGAAATGCCTTAAAGATTGCCTAATGGCTTCAGAGGAAGAAAGCCCTCCTAAAGAGTTGAAATTTTCTCATAGTATACAGTTGGGCCCATTTAACTGCATCTACTTGCCAGGCTTTATTACTGCTGAATAAAGTACGCATGTGATTACCTGAAACTTGCTGCATACTTCATAGCTTAAAGTCATATGATTTGGCACTGGTTCAGAAAATCTAGTTGCTTGTCGAACAGTACATTCCTCTCCCTTGTAAGTAAGAGATCTCTGGAAGCATGTATTAAAAATAGTTTGGACTTAAAAGATTTGCTCAGGACCACTGTTAGCCCTATTTATTTTGGGACTGATGGGTGTACTACCAATCCTCTGACTTCCAGATGATGGCATCACAAATGCAAAAACACTGCTTGTCTACCTCTAAGTCCTAAACTTACAAAATACACTGAAAAGTGTGATAGAAGTCATTTGCCCAAGGCACTACATTGCATAATTGTCTAGCATTAGCTTTTTGTGCAGCATCTTAACGCTCTCCAGCATCTTAACGCTCGCTAGGGAAAAGAAAACCACTGAATTTTGTGGGCTGCAAATATGACCTATATAACTCTTCCTCTTCTTTGGAAAACCCTAAAGAAAGGCAGTAATTTCCCTCTGGTTCTTCAATGTTTCACATGCTTAATCTGTGAACACTACCTATTTGAGGCACAGGATTATCGTGATACAGCCTTGTCAAGCCTGTAACATGTTTTGTCCTCTACATAGTCATGTTATGACTTATGCATAGATGAAAGTTAGGTAGTAAAAGTATAACAGATAAGACTACAAGCTATTTGACCAGCTTTTATAAAATTTTGCTTACAGATTAGTTTTCAGAATATTACTTGCCTGTTTTGTTGAAATATTAACTACTGCTTTATAGGTTTTGTCATTGTCGCAATGTGGCCAAAGGTCAAAGTAAAACCTGTGCAATTAGGTTGAAGAAGACCTAGTGTAATCAGTCCCCTCCCCCCATGTAAACTTTGCAAGACCAGGAATATTTCCGTATCTAAACTTCTCTTCATACCCAACCTCTGTACAATGCCCAACATGAACCCCTTTCCCCGGCTGAAATTCTTCGTTCTACTTCCTTATTCCTTGTTAGTCATGAAAATACCTTTTAAAACTTTATGGAAAGTGTAGTGAGAGTGCAATGGTGGAATGGGGGACATGGTCTCAGCTTCCTGACATAAATGCTGTCTCGTGCCAGTTTACATTTTTTAATTATTTTGTTTAGCTGCTCCGTGTCTGGATGTTCAGAAAGGTACACATGAAAGGGAAGCTGTCTTTCTGAAAGCTTTTGGCGTCATGCCTCTCGACATCAGTTTGAGGAAGGGATGCCAGCTCTCTTACTACCTAGTCTGCTTGAACAGCAGGTAAAATGTAAGCCTAATTCATCACTTCTTAAAATGGTAATAATAATGCTGGCCTATGTTTTAGGTGGACTTCAGGCCATGAAGCCTTTCAACCGCTTGAGTGAAGGGACTGTACTGGAAATTACCATGGATATTCAATACTACAATTATAAAAACTTATTGCCAATTTTGGTTTTACTAGTCAACAAACATGGAAAAAAATACTTGTGGTAGATGCAGGCATGGGAGCATGCCCTCTTCGGAATTTTAATCAAACTCCTCTTTAGATGCCTGTGGAGTTCTTTGCTTCTGTATTATTTACTTCCAGCAGGTAAATGAATTTGTCTCTCCTTTCGATAAGGGAGAATGCCGCTATTCAAACTTGCCAAATTCAAAATGAACTTGGAAAAAGTAACAGCAGAGTCTGGATCAGTCTAAAATGAGTATGAACACGACCTAGCAGGACTTACGAAAGAACTGGAAGACCTTTCTGAGAGGCTCTTGTTATTCTCTGGCTCTTGCATTAGACGTGCACTTGGAGAGAGATGAAAGTGCTGCAGGAAGACTAGTGCTATGCTTACCACAAAATTGGCATAATGGAACAGTAATTCTCTGTTCCTTTAGATAAAACCTGTCCATTGTGCCTCTTGCTATTGCACTTGAATACTGTAACTGCTTTTTCTGGCATGTTTAAAGTATAGTGTTCTTATCTGTGTCAATTACAGCTTCAAAGTCTACCTCCATTTATCATCCATTATTCCTGTCTCCTAAATTATCTGATCACTCCTCATCATCTTCCACTTCAAGAATAACTTTTTCAGTCATCCCTTAAGAGTCACTCAAATGGGCCAAACCTCAGATATCCTCTTTTGTCCTGCCTCTTCATCCTTTCCAGTGACAAATGCTCCCAGCCTGGTGTCATCCTGCTTGCGTATGCAGGCTGCCCCAGCGCTTCGTAAAGCGTTCTGGCGTGATGAACCGCCTTCCTCTGCGCGCCTCATTCTGCTACCCTGTAACTGCGTATTAAATGAGGTGTTTAGGGGAATTGGGTTAAATCCTTCATAGACAGTGACAGGAGGGGAAATTAAGCGTAAGAAAATGCTAGAGACTTTAAAGCCATCTTGTACAGATCCATAACCCTTAGTATGTAATACAACACACATGTTCTGAATGATTTCTGAATAAAAGCCGATATATAAACTTTGAAATTCTAGTGAATGCAACTTTGCCCGAGTCTGCCAGCAATTAAACGTTTTATTACTAGTTTGTAATTAATAATTGTTCCTGCTCGGTTCTGGAGCCTGTATTTTGTAGGATTTGCTTACCCAGAACTTGTGTTATGAAGAGTGGATGTGTGTGTTTTTGAAGACAGTACTTAGCTTCCTATTTATGATAAACTAATAGCTCTTCAAGGATTGAGTTGAAACTGCAGACACTAAAGCAAGGGAAGAAAATCACATTCCTTCCCCTCCTGATGCGAGTTCAACACTGTACTAACTACTGGATGGAGGCAAATGAACTGTGATGCATGCAGAAGCTTAGCAAATCCAAACCCCAACTAGCGGAAAGAAAAAGCTTTATAGAAACAAGGTGCTCATGAAGAACTTGAATCAGTACCTGTCTTTGGGTACAGCTCAAAGGAGGGTACGGGCAGGAGGGAGAGTGCCAGGAGATGCTCCCGTGCTTCACTTACAGTAGAACAGTGTGTCAGGTCATGCTGAAACAGAGTTGATGTTGTGATAGGCTTTAAATCAGACATCTTTTTTTCTTACGGCCCACTTCTTAGGTTCAGTGCTTAATTATCTGGTTTATGCTCTTGCCCACAAAGAGTTTTTGGTGCCACAGTGGAAGGGGCAGTGAACTGCAGCATGGGGACTTCTTAGGCCAGCTTTGCCAAAGCCAGCATCTCATGGAACCATACCCTCATGGAGTGCTGTCCTGGGATACGAGTTCAGTCACACTGTGCGTAGATATTAAAATGCATCCATCTAGTACAAACATTATGTAATTTGCCTTTTTATAAAATGCTTTTTTTTCTCCTAAGTGCTTAAACACATTTTCATTCAGATGGTACAGAATGTACATCTGCTTAGACTTTCTGTGGCACAAAGGAGGTGGAAATACAGAAGTAAGTTTTACCTGGCTGGCATATAAATAATTTTAATGTATGGTGGAACATACTGTACCATTCTACTTCTCTGGACTTCAGAAGCCTCATAGGATGTGGGAGTAGGGTGCTCTGGTCTTGTGTTCAGAAAGTGAAGGCGGATGCGTATGCTGTATGTATCTTCATTAGAAGTTCAAATATTTAGATATCAGTCCTCAAAGTTATATTCCTAATGGCTTATTTTTGCTCATGTTTGCTTCAGGAATATCTTTGTTATCAGATGGTGTGATGGTTACTGCAAAGTAACTGGCAACTTCCAGGAGTCTAAACAGAGATGTCTGGCCAGTGAGTAAATGGTAACTGATGAATCACCTTCCTGGCATAGTACTGAAATATCCTACGCTGTTTCTGAAATGGAACCTGCATTAAATTTCCCAGAATTTTAGTCTTGTGCTCAATGTTCTGAGGATCATTGCTTCATGTAGGACCACAAATTGGAATAAGATATGAGTACAGTTAAGCATCATTTAAATGTGAGGAGTAACTGCATTTCAATGGAAAGTCCAGGGGTAGGAGGGAATGTGGAATAAAAGACCCTACACTAGGCAAGGACAATGGAAAGCATTAAGCAGGAAATAGGGTCTGTGGTTAAGGGGGGGGCACAATATCCTGAAAAATGCCATTGAAATTTTTAAATGCTTGCTTTTTGTTGCAGATTAATCAGCCACTCGATGGGGATTAACAGTGGAGCACCTCTTTGTGTCGCCTTTCCACCTCTCTGTAGCAAGAATAACAACTTCAGCACTTCTTCAATAATAATTATGAAACTGGTATTAACTGAATGGCAATTATGGATTTTTAACTCTAACTCACAGTAAACCAGCAAGCCATATGTTGAAATTCCTACCAAATAGCTTTTCATTCTTAATGTCTCATATCTATACAAGAAGTTGCAAGATACCTGTTTGTACAAGAGGAATATAAGCATTACTTGCCTGAGGAACAGAAGCTGAAAGAGAAGACACCTAACTTGTTCGTGGAGTTATGGTAGTATTATTTATAGAGATATAACAAATATATTTTTTTTATGGTAATGAAAATGGCTCCCCAGAATGCTGACTCGGAATCTATGCAAGTTCAAGACCTACCTGTGGCACAGCTTCAGAAACCAGAAAACAAGGAGAATGAAAGTAGAGAGGAGACCATTAGTGAAGGATCCATAGACCGGATACCAGTTCGCCTGTGGGTGATGCATGGTGCAGTAATGTTTGGCAGGGAATTTTGTTATGCCATGGAGACAGCTTTGGTGACACCCGTATTGTTACAAATTGGTAAGTAATTCTTATGTGTTAGTGGAAGCTTTCTATATCTTTTTGCATGGATTAAAGTTGGAGGAAGAGGGAAGTGGGGTCTGCCAACTAAAAATACACAAGGTAAAAAGGATTTCAGTTTTTGTAATTGGCCGTGCCACAGATTCAGTTGTGTGACTGTGTTTAAGTGGGGAAGACTTCTATATGCATTCATCTTCTGCCTAATATTGCTTCTCTCTGTAAAAAAGTTTAACCTGATTTAAGTTTTCTGTTCCCACATAAAGCTAGCAACCTCAAAACCTTCTAAAATTCTTTATTAAAAGGTAAGTGTCCTAGAACCTAGAAACATTATTAGACTATTGCAGTGAAGGATTTAAGGAGAAATGCTTCAGGTTGCAGTACTTCAGAATAAACAGATAAAATGTCTTAAATGTCTTTTTCCACTACAAGGGAAACATTGCATTTATATCAAACCACTGGTGAGTTTTGTTTTATATGATTAATCTGTCTAGTTTATAACACATGAATAAACAATGATATAGCTTTAGGTAATAATGGGAGGTAATGGGGACTAGAATAGGAGTAGACTTAAATTTTGTGGCAAGTACTATAATTAGGTTTCCAATAAACTGCTTACAGGATTAGCAGTATCTGGTATTACCTTTATCAAATCTAGAAAATCATGTTCTCTATCAGATAGCAGAAAACATTACACAAAACTGAATGGAAATACTGGACTGATCATGCTTCCATGAGTGAATAAATCAATGATGTGTGTGCACAGTATGAGTGTGTATATATAATATATGCATATTATATGTTTGCTTTGGCTTATACATGAAGTTGTGCCTTACAGCATGCTCAGTTGTGGCCAAACAGAAGCACTCAACTAATGCTCTAAAATTATGTTAATTACAACATTGTTTAAAAATGACAAAGTTAGCATCTGAAATGAAACATCTGTATTTTTATATTTGATGTGACAAAAGAGGATAACAGATTGAACTTGTGAGCATGCAATGTACAAATTCTTTTGTGCAGTCTTCCTGCAGTTAATGAGTTTTCATATGAAGTTACTGGTCGGTTTATTTTGAATCAGGGGTCAATAATCAGTGCAGTTAGTGCCATGAGGTGCTGATGAGTCATGCCTCCAAATTTTCATGAAAATTTTCATTTTCAGAGTTCATAAAATGTCCTTTTTGGATCTATTAGTGCCATAGTTAAAGATTGTAAGTGGTCACTAAATAGCTTTCTGATCAACCTGGCTTGCTGAATAAAACACATGCAACTTCACCTAGGAATATTAACAATGTCCATAACTAGTTTTGAGGTTTTGTCTTCTGGGTAAATTGAGATTTAGAGACTCAAGTAATTTGTACTAGCAGCTTCGGTTCAATTACTGTCTACTATGAATGCAAAATACTTGTGTCCTGCTTTGCCTGGAGAAGACCCCAAGTTTTGTAAATGACCTGTACTTTCTTGTTTGTGCTGGCACTTGGATGTTTAAAATGTATAGCTGGCTAAGCTGACTTTGCCTTGCCATAGAGTAAGGTCAGACAGTATAAATAAACCTTCCTCTTAATTACTGACCAGTCTACTAGTTTACAATTCTTTTGTGAGCTTTTCTAGCAGATCTGTTTCCTCCAGATAATTGAGAAATATCTCTTCCCTTCCTTCCCTAACCCCAGTGATCAAAATAACATTGGTATTTGGGGGAAGGGAAGAAAAGAGTTCTGGCTTCTAGAAAAGCTTGCAAATTGAAAAAGCGATGTAAAAGACTGTGAGGATGCAATAATGATGTTCCATGCTGTATAGATAAGAAGCGGAGGTAGCTGGTTACAAATGTTAGCACGTTGGGAACTAATTGAAATCTTTTGTGCTCTGGCTCGTGTTCCCTCAGCAAGGGACTGAACAATGTTGGATTCACTGAAGGGTTAAGTTATTCACGGGTGACTTATCTAGCCTGTTTGGTAATTACCTCTTACATGGTTCTGTTTACCTTTATCAACCTCAACATCTGTCTGCCTCAACATGAGCTATATTTATTCCTCACTGGAGGGGGTTGCATATAGCTGTTGAATTGCTGTAATATTCCCTTTGCTGCTTGTTTTGGTAAAAGCAACATTCAGTTGTTTTCTGAGAGATTAAATTGGGTTGAGAAACTATTTTTGAAAAGTGGCATGTGGGCAAGTATAGTGACTCAACCAACCAAGTTTGCTAATCATAAATTGAAGAACCAGAAACATTTTGGGTATGCAAAAAGGACTCTTCCTTACAGATAGATGTTGAATATTAACAATTAAGCTTTAGGTTATATGCTTGTGCTCTATCTTAGAAAACTTTGGTCACTGAAATAATCTGAGATTCTTATCTGATACCACCATTAAAACCCTAGGCACGTTAGTATGGCGTTACACACTTTCAGCTTGCAGGTATTTGACTTTCCTAGCTCTTTGTGTACCCTGGATCAGAGGTGTAGTTATTATTTGGCAGATCAGTGACCTGTCCTACTTGTTCTGTAAGCCACAAGATTTCAGCAACTGAAGGAGATAATCCTTTCGATAGTCGCTTTCCAGTTCAACAGTGGTTGAATTCTCAATGTTTTTAAATTTCCTCAAGTTTTGAATTCTTACCAAAAGAACTAAAGGCAGCAGTGAGAGCAGGTTGGATCAATGGATACTGTGAATGGGGAAGGGCTGGAAGTGCCCAAGTTGCTGTACTCCTACGGAATTAAGTTCCCATTTGTGACTTTAATCTTTGTCTTTATTGCTTTGCCTAGATTGATGTTACATTGCCTTGTCAGAAATGCAGCTACAAATCTGTAACAGCCTGGTAGTCATAAATGGGCTTTAGTAGCTTAGCAACAAGAACAAGCCAAATATATATTACATGTTGCTTTTTATTCTAACTTGCTCTTTGATTTCATGCAATCTGCAGCTTAAGAATTCAAAACGAAGCAGCTAACTTGTTTAGAAGAATTCAGAGGATATAAAAATATGCCAAATATGAGGAGTGGCAGACTGGTTCCAGATGAAATTAAATTAGTTGGCACTCTCACAAGTTTCAAGCTTTAGAAGTCTTCATTAACCTTTTTTAGAGACCCATTCAGTCAGCAATCCCAGCCAGCATTAAAACTTCACTACAAAATAAACTGTCAGCCCCTTCAGCACTCCAGGTTTACTTGTTCATCAGTCTGAGATTTTTGAGAAGCAGTGATTTCTTCTTACTATTGGGTACGTTCTGTACATTAACACTACTGTTTGCCTCCCCGATGCATTTTCGGCCACATACTGTAAACTCCATAGGAGCAGGATGAGGCCTTTGTCTTCTGAAACATCTGGTACTTAATGCTGCTTATCTGTGAGAGGGAATTAAAATCCCTGCTATTGTTTGTAAATGACAGTGTATTTTCTTCCATCATTAAACTTGGCTTCTAAGGATTAGATCTTTCTCTAAATCTACTTCCAGTTTGTAACAGTTCGTGGAAAATTTGGATACATTTTAGAAATTATTTTGCAAGGGATTTTGATTAAATAAGTGAAGATAAACTAATGACTGGTATAGTGTAAACTTAGGGAAACTGTTAGGTTTTTGAAGAAACTTGTCCAGTGAAATCACAGTATGTGGCTTCTATTAGCAACACTTTAAATCATTAATCTGAAATTACCAAATTATGTCATTATTTCAGTTGTAATTCGAGCACAGTTTGGGTGGTAATGCAACCAGTAAATCTATTTCAGTTCTGAAAAGTGGGATCCATGTGTCTGTCTGATTAGGACTGCACAAAAAAGATCTGTATTCTGGGACTTGGGGTCACTGCTGCTTTCAGCATGAAAAATTTGCTGTCTGACTAATGAGTAGTGGTAGCTGTAAACATGAAGTTTCACATTTTATATTTAATATGATAAAAGCTTTGCCAAGCCTTTACTGTTGTTTCAAAGGATCTTTCCAATGCTACTGAGTGTTTTATGAATAGTTAATAGGCACAGAAGTGACTGTCAGCACCAGAACTGTTCCTCATTCCCCTGCATAAATTAAATGTATTACACTAGTGCTTTGTAAAAGAAACCATACATGTTTACATAAGGAAAAACGTTAACAGTTTACATGTGCTGCTTACCTTTGTAATGTCACTTAAATTTAGGGATGTTTCTCTGGTATGGTACAGGAGCAGCCTTAATTTTTACGTATTTCATATCTGAGTGCCTGTCTGTGATAGTATTACTTTGTTTTGCTGTGAGAGTTAACGGGCTCTTGTAGTAAACATTAGCTGTTCAAGCATTCAATGAAGTTGGTCATTTAAGCTTAACCTTGAGCATGGTGTTCTTTTTAGGCAATAACACTAAGGAATAGCATTTCTGGAAACTGCATATTTCAGTGCTAATTAATAGATTTTAATAAAGAGAAAGGCTGAGCTAAGCAGAGCAGAATACCATAAGTTATTTTTGTTTGGAAAAGAGATTATTTCTCTCATTATATGCTTTCGAGTCAGCAAAATAGTGTAGCTACTCATGTCTCATGAGACACACGACACATTTCCTACATGTCTCATACATGTGGAAAAGATGTTTGGGGGTTTGGGCTGTTGTTTCTCAGTTAAAGCATTTAGAAATATTTCAGGGGAAAAAAAAAAAAATACCTAACATTCAGAATTCTTCCAGCTTAAAACTTAGCAGACAATGCTTAAAGGGTCCTGAAATCTAGTTCATGTGAAATTGCCAGTATGGAAAAAGTGTTAAGCAACAATTCAAAGCGCTGATTCTGAGAAATCTCAGTGGTAGCTGAGAAGTAATTATGCTGAAGAGATTTAATATGACGGAGTGAACTTTTAGTATGAAGTAGTGAATATCCCCATTGAAATTTAGTGTTGATACCTGTCTGAGAAGAATGCATGTAGGTAAAGAGGAGATTATGGAGATGTCTTCAGAATCCAAGCATGAAATGTTACAGATAAGTTAGCTTTTAGGTATGTTTCTTCAAAGGAATTAAGTTATCAGTTGCTGAATCAATTCAGTGTGGAA